CCTAGTCAGCTCGAACATCATTGCAAACTGGTGTAAAGTGTTCAAATGTATCGAATGTCATCTCATGTTCTTGCTGAGTTTCTTGTTTTCATTCATCCTTTAGAAGCCATGCTTGAGCTGCGGCTCATTTTTCTTGGGTGACATCGGTGGTGCTTAGGGTTCTCTTGTGGTGCGTGTGTTCTCTCACATCTGGGCCCCGTGCACTCCATATTTCACCAATCCAATCACGAGGGATCAGCGCCATCATGTCCTGCAATTCAAGGGTAGAGGGATCGCATGGAGGTGTTTCTGAACAAATATCCAGCCTCTGAACTATAGTTTGTCTTGAATATGTTATTGACTATGGAGCTGGATCTGATTTTATTGTTTTCAGCTTTCGAGCGATCCACGCTGCACCAGTTGGAAATGCCAACTGGTTTTCGGGGATTAGAGATTGGCTGTGAGACGGTTGGCCATACTTGTATCGAGTCATTCTGGCAAAGGGTTAAAAAGTCTCTTGCGGTACGAAGATTTGACATATAAGAGTGCTTACCACCGTCTGAACCCGGTGCGCCCACAGGTACTTCCAGCTCCGTGTCCTGCAAGCCAACCAAGAAAGGCCATTGCGATCGCTCTACTTAATTGTGGGTTGAAGCCTTGTGCATTGTTTTCGAATATGCTTGGGGTGAATATATCAATCCTCGTGCAAAAGGGGTGTGGTCAAACACAATGGTCGGAACATGTTGGAACCTGGGCCTGAAGTCTCTCATTCTGTCAGCAGTCCAGCTATGCGTTTTTCAACAAATTCCATCGCAAGTGATGGTTTGATACTGAAAAACTCTCTTCGGATTTCCGCAGGTGTGACCAGCAAGACTGGCCCCATTGGCAAGGAGCTCGCACGCGCAGTTGGGAAAGGAGCCCCTTGCTCTATACCCATAACAAGTTTTGTTGCGCGTGCGTTTGACAACTGATTTACGACCCTTCTTGCACTATAGTTTGAACAAAAGACAAAAGCCCTTGTGAACCAAAACACACAACGCATGTGAAACTATAGCAGCACAAATGTATTGCGCTGGCCCTCGCTCTTGATGCCACGCGAGGTATCCGAAGTTCAAGCTTGTCTCATTGCTAAAGCAATTGCGGAGGAACTGCCAGCTGATGGCCCTAATTTGGAATCTCAATGTTTGATAGATGGAATGACTCGACTTAGCACTACTGGTCATGAGCCAAGGTTGTTCAGGCTTTTTCAGCAATCAGGCTTGGTTGCTGATATCCCGGATACATACGTTGAGCTTTCTCCTGGCTTTCACCATCCAACAGTTTCCTTTCGGGATACTGTGCAGTGCTTGTCGGATTGTGGCAAGATGGACCTCTTGTTGGGCAATTACACGCAAGAAAGCTTTTTGTCTGTCTGGGACCGTTTTGGAATGCTGGAGCCCGCGCACCCAGTGTTTACAGTGCATGCCGGTCATCTTGGTCGTGTCATTCCACTTCTTTGCCACTGTGATGAAGGAACATCGCAAAAGAAGCGGTCTCTTATGATACTCCAAACACAGCCATTTCTCGGGCGTGGTACCTCCTTCGGAGCTGCTGGGGTGAACTTTGTGGGAAACAGCTTGACGACAAGATTTTTGTACTCAGTTCTTCGAGGGAAAGCTTACAGTGGGAAGAATTCAGAACGCTTACATCGGCTGATCCATTTCATGGCCTGTGATCTGAGAAGCTTGTTTGAAGATGCTATCGCAGTTCAGGCATGGGGTGAGAATGTTGAATTATTTTTCTGCTTGCTGGGTTTGAAGGGCGATTGGGTTGTGCTAGCCAAAATTGGCCGGCTGAACAGGCACCACCTCAGAGACACACATGATGGTGATGGCGTGGGAGTCTGTCACTTGTGCAATGCTGGAAAGCTCGGCCATGAATGGCATAGGTGGACAACAAAAGCAATGGATTCCATGATCGCTGGCGCAGACCTCCCGTGGTCAACCCCAAGTGCTTTCACAACTGAGATACCTCAAGCGGATGATTGCAAAGCCAACTTTTTCAAGATTGATATCTTCCATACGATGCACAAAGGAATAGTTGGAGATCTTGTAGCCAACGCTATTGTCACTTGCAAGCCAAGCCTGGAATTGCTGTTTGTTTCTTAATGTCTGATGTTTTCGTCAGTTTCCTGCTACTGTTCTTGTTTTGTGCGACGTGGCTTCTACACTTTAGGTGACCCTCTGTGATTTGAATATTGATGGATTGAATCCAACATCTGGACTGGACAAGATCTACAAGGAGGCTTCGGACTTTGCGCGAAAGAATTCCCTCAACCTCCACTTGCTTCAGTTGACCCGAACTACTCTGAGATTTACAAACAGCTGGAGCTTTCCGGGTGAGTAGCTGGGTTTTGTAGAGGCAACGTGTTTGTTTTTGAGCGGCGTGTATTTATGCTTCTTTAGGCATGTGTGTCTAGGCCCCTTGTTTTTGAGACACTGTGTTTTTCGCAGAAAGCAATGTGTGAGGAATTGGTTCAAGGGAGCGGACACTACAGTTTTGTCCAAATTTTTGGAAGCGAAGTATGATGCGGTACTTGTAGCCAACAGTGGGCACGAGCACGCGTCCTATTTGAGGTTGATCGCTCAGGCTCTGAAGGCTTCCAACCAATTCTTTCACACGGTCTACCGTGCGGGTTTTTGGCTCAGCGATGTTCAAAGGCAGAATTTGATTGATGCTTCGACAGATATCCTGAAAAGCTTTGATGGCGCTGCCAAGTATGCATGGGATGTCCTTTGGCTCCCGAGATTCAAATACCAGCCAAAGCTGCACATGTTTGCCCATGTGAGGCATAGCCTTATCAAAGAGGCTGCGAAGAAAGCCAGATCAGTTTCACCTCTTGCATTTTCGACACAAATAGACGAAGACTTTGTGGGTCGAGTCTGTGTGTTGTCCAGGCAGGTTCATGGTAGAACTCTCCACTCAAAAACGTTGGAGCGTTACAAGATTGGATTGGCAGGCGCATGGTGAGAAAAAAGAACATTCCGGCACTGCAATGGTGCCTTGGGAATCTAAAACCCATGTGTTTCATCCCTCTCTCTCTCTCTCTTTCTCTCTTGGCGTGCCATCGCAAAGATCCAGGCTGTGGGGCGCGGTCGCCGTCTTGTTTTTTTTGCTGGTTTTCAGGGAAGGTCTGGGCGCGGGGCAGGGTTGTGAGTCAAACTCAAAAACCTCGGAAACCCAATAATGGTAACTTTTGTCAGTTCCCACTTTTTCTTTGCGACTTGGTTCTCTAGGTAATCAATATTCTTGAAAAAATCAGCAATTTCTATTGATTTGGGCGCGTGCTTTTTCAATAGAAATTCTTCCTCAAAGCCAAGCAAAAA